CATCCGTATCGTCGATCATCGTAAGTTCCCTACTCGTGCGATTCGACCAGTCCTGGACCCATCCGTACAATTCTACATATGTAGGAGTAAATTTTGCCGTCGATGTTCGTCCTGCAAATCTCGGGGCTGCTATCGTAGAGTTAGAGGATCCAATCGAAGCAGTATCCTGGCTGGCCAGGGTCTCCAAGTTCTTAAGCCTAATCTCCTGCTCCTGCTGTTTCTTCTCAATGGCCGTGAGTTTCTCTGTCTGGACCCCGAGACGTTGATCCATACTACTAATACGCACGTCAGTGGCCACCGAGGCGGCCTTCGACTCATCATGATTCTGAAAGGACATCTGCATGAACAATCGCAAACTCTCATCTTTTTGAAGACTCAGAATTTTCTCTCTCATGGCCTTTTGATCACGAATGTCACCTCCCGTCTTGTCCACCTTCTCCTCCTCCTCCATATCCGTCTTCATCCTCTTGCTACCCTGACCGTCAACCTCCATTTCTTCTGGAAGAACTGGCGAAACGACCCTTCTTGAACTTACAGAGACACCAAGAACGATGCGAGTAGTGTCGATAAGGTCGGGAACGACGAAATATGCAACACTCTAGGCGACAGTAATCCTCCCAATAGAAGTCTTCCAGATCTGCAAAGAATCGATCCCAAACACAGCTAGGCTCTCCGAGAGGATATAAGACGTTCCACCCTCCTGCTGGCTCTCCGAAGCTGTTCGTGACCGCACAGACGATACAACAATACTCAACTCGCACACGTGGAATGAATAATGGACGAGAGCAAAAATGGAAGAAGGCACGCTCCCAAGAACAAAAGCAGATGCAGACGTATGCGTGCTCCACTCGTACCAGCAGGGCGTTGCCTCCCAGTAACCAGTTCAATCAGGAGCCTGATGCCAGCAGAGGGGCCGCAGGCTGTCCAAGATGTGTGCGGAAGAGTGTACAGTATGTGGAACCCAACTCCCTACTGCACAATGCAGCTCGAGAGAGCCCCCCGGCGGGGCAAGGCCGAGGGAGAGCGGGAGGTAAGCTCCGCGTCCTCAACCTTTGTTACCGCCGGGGGACTCGTAGAGCTTCCTGACCATATATAATGTCAAAAAACTGCAGAGAACGAATAGTTTTCAGCCCGAGCGATTTCAGACCTCTCGATACAACAGCCGAACGCCCCTGATGCTTCTGGATAGTTTGCTGTGCGCACCAGCTCGTAGCTATCCTACAGCCCGAGTTCAATACAGAAAAGGGACAACACCTGCCAAGGTGACTTGAACAATGCGAATAGTTTTGCGGACCTAGCCCGAGTAGCAAGCCCAGTTCAGACCTCTGGATGCAACAGACGAACCCGCACGATGATATCGAATCAGTTTCTGTGCGCATCAGCTCTGTAGCTCTCCTACAGCCCGAGTTACGTGCGATAATCGACAGCACCTCTCAAGATGACTCGAACAATACGAATAGTTTCGCGATACTAGCTCGAGTAGCAGACCGAGTTCGGACCTCTGAATGCGACAGGCGGGCGCGCCTCATGTTTCCAAATCGATCCCTGTGATTACCAGCCCTGTAGCCCCCCTGTAGCCCCCCTACAGCCCGAGTTCAGTGCAGAAACCGACAGCACCTCTCAAGATGACTCGAACTACGAATAGTTTCGCGGACCCAGCTCGGGCAGCAGACCGAGTTCAGAGCTCTGGATTCAACAGACAAACGCTCCTCATCATTCTGAATTGGTCTCTGTAAGTATCAGCTCTGTAGCTGTCCTATAGCTCGAGTTAAATACAAAAAACCGACAACGCATGTCGAGATGACTCGAAACGGCCGATCCCGTCTGCCTGCTTTTTGGCAGTAAAAGGTACCCGATCGAGCTGAGATCAAGACGGCGAGCGGGAATAAGATCGAATATGATGAGAAAAAATACTAGAGCTCTAACGAATGGTTGAATTTCGAGAACAAAATTTTCAACCGACCAAAAGTCAGCAAAAGGTTCGTCGAGATTTGTCTTGCCAAAGCCGGCGGTAAACCGTCAACCAAGTTACCGCCGGGAGCCTCGTAGAGCTCTTGTGTGCACGGCGCTGCACGGGGGAAGCTTTCTTACGCGCGAGCTGAAAACTTCCAAATTTATTTTTGTCAGTGTTCACCGAAAGTCGGTTGCTTCAAGTGTTTTGATAGTAATACTGCAGCTACGGACCTGAGAATTTCACTGGCGGACGCGGCACAACCCACTACAGGTGCGAAAAATACCGGCTCTCAAAACGACTGTTCAAATCTCTCAGAAAGTTCGGCCAACCGACCCAAAGTTCACACATTGTCCGCCCCGGCCGGCTAGGTCAACTAGCTGCACCCCGCGCCGGAATTCCTCTAGCTCATCGATGCCGAAGAGCTCTACGAGGTACTTCGTACCGTCGAAAACCCGTAGAGCGAAGAGACACTCGCGGACGGGAAGTCTTATCTCGCAGAGCTCTTCGGAATCGATGAGCTAGAGGAATTCCGGCGCGGGGCGCAGCTAGTTGGCCTACCCGGCCCGGGCGGACAATGTGATGATCTGGGGTCGGTTTTTTGAATATTTCGAGAGATTCTGAAATGTGTTTCGGAAACCACTATTTTTGCAACGTAGAGTGGATTGTGACGCGTTCGCCTGTCGAATTCTCAAGTTCGCAGCTGGAATATTACAATCAAAAAACGTGGAGGAACAACGAGCTGTAGGAATACATGTTTCGAATGCTTAAAGGATATGTTCGATATTCTCAGCTCACGCCTGCTTGAACTTACTCGTCGGGAACTGAACAGAATTCCGTGATCGCAGAGCTCTACGAGGGTGCCGGCTTCTAGTTCGGGCGGGGTGGAGCTAGTTGGCGGCCCGGCCCGACCAAAAGAGAGGATGTGGTAACCTGGGGTCGGTGTTTTTCACTTTATGCAAAATTTTGAAATTCGTTTTCAGGACTGAAATGTTTATTCCTGTTGTGTAAGCTATGGCGCACCTGCTGGTTAATTATTATGGCTCAAGGAGCAGTACTACTATTGACACACTTGGAGGAACTGACTTTGTATCGACACCAAAAAATGCGTTTTTCTGGGTCATCTGATATGCCTTTTCAGTGAGCAGGCAGGGAAGGAGGGACGGGAGTGGGTAATGCCGTGTCTGCCAGTTAAATTCTCAGGTCCGTAGGTGCAGCATCGCTATCAAAACACTTCTAGGAACCGACTTTGGAAAAAAACGAAAAATCGTGATTTTTCGAATTTTTCGGCTCTCGCTTCAGAAGCTTTCTTGATGTGTCCCGAGGAGCGCTGTGCAAGAAATTGAGCGCCGGCGGTAAACCGTCAACCTTCCCTACCGCCGGAGGACCCGTAGAGCTTCCTGACCATATATTATGTCAAAGAATCAATAGAGAAGAGAATGAATAGTTTTTCAGCCCGAGCGCTGATAGCCTGAGTAGCAAACCACCCGAATCCCTAGCTCTCCTACAGCCCGAGTTACGTGCAAAAACCGACAGCACCTCTCAAGGCGACTCGAATGATACGAATAGTTTTGCCAATCTAGCTCGAAAGTAGCAGACCGAGTTCAGACCTCTGGATGCAACAGACGAACGCGCCTGATTATTTTGCATTCGTTTCTGTGCGTATCAGCTCTGTAGCGTCCCTAGAGCTGGAGCTAAGTACAGAAAACGGACAGTCCCTGTCGAGATGACCCGAGCGATACCAATAGTTTTGCGGACCTAGCTCGAGTAGCAGACCGAGTTCAGACCCCTGTATGCGACAGACGGACGCGCCTGATGTCTCCGAATCAGTTTCTTCAACTACCAGCCTCTAGCCCCCTACAGCCCAAGTTAAGTGCAGAAAGCCGACAGCACCTCAAGATGACTCGAACAAGACGAATAGGTTCGCGAACCTAGCTCGGGCAGCAGACCGAGTTCAGACCTCTGGATGCAACAGACGAACGCGCCTGATGATTCTGAATCGGTTTCTGTAAGTATCGCTCTGTAGTTCTCTACAGCTCGAGTGAAGCACAGAAAACCGACAACACGTGTCAAGATAACCTCAAATGGCCGATCCCGCCCGTGTGCTTCTTGGCAGTAACTGGTGCCGGCGGTGAACCGTCAACCTGGTCACCGCCGGGAACCTCGTGGCACGCATGAGAGTGCTCAGAATCGAAGCAGAGAGCTTCTCGGAGAATTTCTCGCAAAACGTCAACATTGAATTTTTCGGTGTCACTCTGATGTCGGTTCCCGCTAATTTTTGGATCGTAAAAATATCTCTAGAGAGCTGATATGTTCGATGAATAAAGTTCAGATACTACTGCTTAGCGTGAAAATCTGCTTTCTCGAAATAAATGATCAAATATCTTTCAAATCTGAGCAAAACCGACCAAAGGTCACGAATTTGACTGTTCTGGTCGAGTCGGCCAACTAGCTCCAGCCCGCGCCGGAATTCCTCTAGCTCATCGATGCCGAAGAGCTCTACGAGGTATACCTACCCGATCGAGCTGAGATTAAGACGGCGAGCGGAAATAAGATAGAATATCACAGGGAAAAATACAAGAGCTCAAACGAAAGTTGAACTGGGAACCGGCGGTAAACCGTCAACCAGGTTACCGCCGGGGCTCTCGTAGAGCTCTTTTCTCGCACGGCGCTCCTCGGCACACATGAAGGAAGAGTCTGGAGCAAGATCCAAAAAACTCGAAAAATCACAATTTCATATTTTTATCCAAAGACGGTTCCGCCAAGTGTTTTGATAGTAATACTGCACCTGCGGACATGATAATTCAACTGGCAGATGCGGCATAACCCACTACAGGTGCGAAAAATCTAGTTCATCAAAATAAATAGTCAAATATCTTTCAAATCTTAGCACAACCGTCCAAAGTTGTCACATTGTCCATTCTGGCCGGGTCGATCAACTAGCTCCACCCCGCGCCGGAATTCCTCTAGCTCATCGATGCCGAATAGCACTACGAGGTATTTCGAGAACAAACTGGCGCCGGCGGTGAACCGTCAACCTGGTCTTTTTGCGGTCTTTTGCGGACGGTCGATTCGAGCCTCCACGGAGGCAGACCGAAACGCAAAGCAACTCAGAACAGAGCCTGAGAGCAAACGCTGAGCGCACTAACAGCGAAGCTGTACAGCAATGCCCAAGAGCGTAAATCCCACTAAGAGTCAACTAAGAAAAGTAAGAAGATGCAGAGCTGTACAAACAGCAAAGCAAGAAGCAGTGAGAGACCATACAGTAACCACTGGTTTATACAGCGATTACCGTATCAGCACCACTGAAAGACCATGCACGTGAAACATGACGTGAATGCAACAAAAAAAAAGGAATGAATTGAAAATCATATGTAAGCAAAGAGAGCGTAACAAATCCACTCATGAGACCTGCCAGCGGAGAGCGGAAGGAAAGCCAGCGGGAGAGCGAGAGGAACCCAAAGAGCCAAAGCGAGCCCAGGGGCAGAAACAGCGGGGGGAAGAGAGGGGGGGCAGACCAAAACATGCGTGCAGGATCAATCACATGTGCATCATCTGTGCCGTTTCCGATGCTTCTTGCCGCTCCGCGTCAATGCACTCCTGGAAGTAGAACTCTGAGGACCCCCTTGTTGCGAATCATCCTCCTCGGAACTTTCAATTCCCATTTGCAGCCTGTATGCATGAAGAGCCTCAGTCCTACGCTGAAACTCCCGTCTCGGGAGTCGGTGTAGCTCACGCCAAAGAGCACTGACATCGACACCGGCAAGGGCCCAGTCCCTGGCAGCTTGACACTCGTCCTCCGTCACTGCTGAACTCACAACTGCATTAGATAGACTCCCAGTCGTGGAACTCCCAGGGTGTGAAGCCATAGAATCTTTATGATGAGAATAATGCAACTGCTCATTCCGCAACTCCTCATTCTGCAACTCCTCACCCTGCAACTCCTCATCATGCAACTCCTCTTTCAGAACACCTGGATCAACAGAAACAGAAACCACTTCCGAGTTTTTGTTGTTGTTAGTTACTGAAGCCATAGAATCTTTATGATGAGAATAATGCAACTGCTCATTCCGCAACTCCTCATTCTGCAACTCCTCACCCTGCAACTCCTCACCATGCGACTCCTCTTTCAGAACATCTGGGTCAACAGAAACAGAAACCACTTCCGAGTTTTTGCTGTTGTTGTTAGTTACTGAAGAGCTCCCGTCAACCGCAGAATCAGGCTGAACATGCTCGACCTCATCGTCCATCACCGTCTTAAGATTTCCCTGCCAATCCTCATTCAGAACCGCAGGGTCAATAGAGACAGAAACCAGTATCGGCTGCAGCACACCATCCGAGGACTGCAGTACATCTCGAGGCTGCACCACATCAGGAGACTCCTCCACCTCCTTCCTCACCTTAAGATCTTCCTGCCCAGCCTTCCCAAGACAATCCGACAGAGCGTCCGGAGATGAAGCGCGGCAAACTTCAGAGCTGGAATCCAAAGAAAAAGTATGCTGATAATAATGCAACTGCTCATTCAGCACCTCCTCACTCTGCAAATCCTCATTCTGAAACTCCTCGTCCTGCAGCTCCTCATTCTGAACACCAGGAAGAAAAGAAACAGAACCCAGCACACCATCTGGAGACTGCACCGCATCTGGAGAATAAGCAACAGAATAAGACGAGAAAGCTTTCCCACGATCACTTGGCCCATCGGGTTTAGCGACTCCGTCGAATCACTCAGTCATCAAGCCCAGAGCCTCTAGCACACGGATCTCTGGAGATTGCACCACGGCTAGAGACTGCATCCCCACTGGAACGCACTGCAGAGTATGGATGTCAAAGAAGGCTTGTCGAAACATGGCGAGTCTCAGCCTTCTCGCTCTCCGCCGCCACGACGAGGATGGGAAAGAAGAAACGGGATAGGGTATGGCATGCAAAGTAGAAGTCGACGAGGTACAAAATTGCGTTGTCATGGCACCACACAGCAAGGGGTACTCACACAACAAATCTGACTCCACCCACTGCAGAGACAAGAGGTGCTCAAGCCGCCATCGCACGGCCCGCCCGCGCGCACACGGCCGCCCAGGGGGCAGCCTGAGGAGACAGGCTTGAGGAGGCCCCCGACGGGCCAGGCCACCGCTGAGATCCCCGAGGAGGGACAGCGACAACCTGGTCACCGCCGGGAACCTCGTAGAGCTCTTTGCACGCGTAAGAGTGCTTAGATTGAAAGCAGACAGCTAATTGGAGCATTTCTAGAAAAACGTTCAATTTTCATCTTTGGTTGTCAACTTCATGTCGGTTGCTCCTAATTTTCCGATAGTAAAACTGGCTCTAGAGAGCTGAGCTGCTCTGGGAACAAATTTGATATTCCAATGCTCGGCGTAAAAATCTGCTTTCTCAAAATAAATGGCCAAATATCTTTCAAATCTTAGCAAAACCGACCCAAAGTTGTCACATTGTCTCTTCTGGCCGGGTCGACCAACTAGCTCCACGCCGCGCCGGAATTCCTCTAGCTCATCGATGCCGGAGAGCTCTACGAGGTAATTTCAACCGAGCACTGGAAACCGGCGGTAAAGCGTCAACCAGGTTACCGCCGGGACCCTCCTAGAGCTCTTTTCGCGCTCCTCGGAACACTTAAAAGGAAGCTTCTGGAGCGAGATCCGAGGAACTCGAAAAATTACGTTTTTCGATTTTTATCTAACGTCGGTTGCTCCAAGTGTTTTGGTAGTAATACTGTACCTACAGACCTGAAAATTTTACAGGCGCGCGCGTCATAACCGATTACAGGTGCGAAAAATCTGGTTTCTCAAAATGAACTGGGAACCGGCGGTAAAACATCAACCAGGTTACCGCCAGGGCCCTCGTAGAGCTCTTTTCTCGCACGGCGCTCCTCGGTACACATGAAGGAATAGTCTGGAGCAACACTCCAAAAATTCGAAAAATCACGATTTGGGGTTTTTATCTAAAGACGGTTCCTCCAAGTGTTTTGATAGTAACGTTGCACCTACGGACCTGAGAATGTGACTGGCAGATGCGGCATAACCCACTACAGGTGCGAAAAATCTGCTTTCTCAAAATAAATGGTCAAATATCTTTCAAATCTTAGCAAAACCGACCCAAAGTTGCCACATTGTCCTTTCTGGCCGGGTCCATCTACTAGCTCCACCCCGCGCCGGAATTCCTCTAGACCATCGATGCCGAAGAGCTCTACGAGGTATGGTCAAACTGGGCGCCGGCGGTAAACCGTCAACATTTCTTTGAGTTTGAGTTTGAGTCAGGGCGCGGACAGCTGTGACAGCTGAGCCCTAAGACTCCCAAACGGAGCAGAGGGTAGCTAGAGAAGGCATCTCTTATCATCACACTGCCGAGCCACTGAGGCATAGGCATCGGAATAGGATGCAGGAACAAGGAAAAGGATTGCACGACATGTGAAATTGCAACCTTTATTACCGCCGGGGACTCGTAGAGCTTCCTGACCATATATTATGTCCAAAGAATTAGCAGAGAACGAATCGTTTTTCAGCCCGAGTGCTGATAGCAGATTGATCTCAGGCGTCTAGTGATAGCTCATCTGCAGCGTGTAGAAAATACCGTTAGGGAGAAAATAACAGAGTACGAATCCGTGTTTGGCGTCTGCGCTCACAACAGACCCAAACCAAGCGTCTAGATGCTTCGCGCCTCACGATGTCCTTCTGATTTTTCGGCCGCAGAGCTCTCGAGCTGCTCTGCAGCTCGAGTTCAGTGAAGAAATTCACCATCAGTTGGAGAAAAAAAAGTCGGTCGAATACGAATAGTTTTGTGAACCTAGCTCGGGTAGCAGACCGAGTTCAGACCTCTCGATGCAACAGACGAACGCTCCACATGCTCATGCATCAGTTTCTGTGCGTACCAGCTCTGTAGCTATCCTACAGCCCGAATTCAATACAGAAAACGAACAACATCTGTCAAGGTGACTCGAAGAATTCAAATAGTTTTGCAGACCTAGCCCAAGTAGCAAACCCAGTTCAGACCTCTCGATGCAACAGACGAACGGGCCTGATGATTCCAGATCAGTTTCTGTGCGCATGAGCTCTGTAGCTCTCCTACAGCCCGAGGTACGTGCGAAAACGGACAGCACCTCTCAAGATGACTCGGAGATACGAATAGTTTCGCGGACCTAGCTCGAGTAGCAGACCGAGTTCGGACCTCTGGATGCAACAGACGAACGCGCCGGATTATTCTGAATCGGTTTCTGTGCGCATCAGCTCTGTAGCTCCCCTTGAGCTCGAGTTAAGTACAGAAAACTGACAGTCCCTGTGGAGATGACCCGAGCAATACGAGTAGTTTTGCGGACCGAGATCGAGTAGCAGACCGATGTCAAACCTCTGCATGCAACAGGCGGACGCGTCTGATATCTCCGAAGCGGTTTCTGCAACTACCAGCCCTGTAGCCCCCCTACAGCCCGAGTTAAGTACGGAAAACCGACAGCACCTCTCATGATGACTCGAACAATACAAATAGTTTCGCGGACCTAGCTCGAGCAGCAGACCGAGTTCAGACCTCTGGATGCAACAGACGAACGCGCCTGATGATTCTGAATCGGGTTCTGTAAGTATCAGCTCTGTAGCTGTCCTACAGCTCGAGTTAGGTACAAAAAACCGACAACGCATGTCAAGATGACCCCACACGGCCGATCCCGCCCGTGTGCTTTGTGGCAGTAATATCTACCCGATCGAGCTGAGATTAAGGCGGCGAGCGGGAAGAAGATCGAACATCACGGGAAAAAATACTAGAGCTCAAACGAATGGTTGAATTTCGAGAACAAAATTTTCAACCGACCAAATTGGGCGCCGGCGGTAAGCCGTCAACCTTTCTTACCGCCGGGGGACTCGTAGAGCTTCCTGACCATATATAATGTCGAAAAACAATTGCAGAGAAGGAATAGTTTTTCAGCCCGAGTGATTTCATACCTCTCAGCCAGACGCCCCGGATGCTTCTGGATCGTTTCCTGTGTGTACGAGCTCTGTAGCTCTCCTACAGCCAGGTAACTTGCGAAAACCGACAGCACCTCTCAAGATGACTCGAACAATACGAATAGTTTCGCAAAGCTAGCTCGAGTATCAGACCGAGTTCAGACCTCTAAATGCGACAGACGGACGCGCCTGATGTCTTCAAATCGATTCCTGTGATTACCTGCCCTGTAGCCACCCCCACAGCCCGAGTTAAGTGCAGAAAACCGACAGCAGCTCTCAAGATGACTCGAGCATACAAATAGTGTCGCGGACCTAGCTCAAGCAGCAGACCGAGTTCCGAGCTCTGGATTCGAAAGGCCGACGTGCCTGATGTCTTCAAATCGATTCCTCTAATTACCAGCCCTGTAGCTCCCCCTGCAACTCGAGTCAGGTACAGAAAACTGGCACCACCTCTCAAGATGACTCGAACAATACGGATAGTTTCACGAACCTAGCTCGGGCAGCAGACCGAGTTCAGACCTCTAGATGCAACAGACGAAAGCGCCTGATGCTTCCGAATCGTTTTTCTGTGAGCATGAGCTCTGTAGCTGTCCTACAGCTCGAGTTAAGTCCAAAATTCTGACAACGCGTATCAAGATGACTCGAAACAGCCGATCCCGCCCGCGTGCTTTTTGGCAGTAAAAGGTACCCGATCGAGCTGAGATCAAGACGGCGAGCGGGAATGAGATCGAATATCACGGGAAAAAATACTAGAGCTCTAACGGATGGTTGAATTTCGAGAACAAAATTTTCAACCGACCAAAAGTCACCAAAAGGTCCGTCGAGATTTTCTTGCCAACTAGCTCTCCAGCGCGCCGGAATTACTCTTAAGATTCCAGCAACTAGCTAAGGGAAGCTCTAGAGTTACTGGGCGCCGGCGGTAAACCGTCAACCTTTCTTACCGCCGGGGGAATCGTAGAGCTTCCTGACCATATATAACGTCGAGAAACAATTGCGGAGAAGGAATAGTTTTTCAGCCCGAGCGATTTCATACCTCTTAGCCAGACGCCCCTGATGCTTCTGGATCGTTTTCTGTGTACACGAGCTCTGTAGCTCTCCTACAGCCCGAGTTACAGCGAAAACCGACAGCACCTCTCAAGATGACTCGAACAATACCGATAGTTTCGCAAACCTAGCTCGAGTATCAGACCGAGTTCAGACCTCTGAATGCAACAGGCGGGCGCCTGATGTCTTCAAATCGATTCCTGTGATCACCAGCCCTGTAGCCACCCCCACAGCCCGAGTTAAGTGCAGAAAACCGACAGCAGCTCTCAAGATGACACGAACAATACGAATAGTTTCGCGGACCTAGCTCAAGCAGCAGACCGAGTTCCGAGCTCTGGATTCGAAAGGCCGACGTGCCTGATGTCTTCAAATCGATTCCTCTAATTACCAGCCCTGTAGCTCCCCCTGCAACTCGAGTCAGGTACAGA